AGGGATTGGAACCCTGGTGTGCGGACTACAAACTTCCATGAGTGAGCAGCCTACCGCTCAGCCTGGAGATCTTGGATTTGTCTTTGTTGGAGTCAACAACCAGTGTACTGCCTGCCAGTCTTGAATTGCTCAGCCCCCTGCACTTGCAGAAGCTAAGGCTGCCGCTAGCCTGAAGTTTCCTCCAGGGACTTTGGACTTGCTGGCTTCTATACATTTGTGAGCCATTTTCCTAAGATAAATTTTTTTTTTTCTCTCTCTCTCTCTCTATATATATATAAATATATGCTTTGTTGGCTTTTGTGTTTCTCTGGAGAAGCCAATCTAACACAGAGACTAATATACATATTTAACAGGTCACAATTGATTTTGCTGCCTTCTATGTAGTGTGCCCACTACTCATTGGTCAGTTTGTTTGTTTCACCGTGGTGGCTTCAATGTTGCTGTGATGCCAGAAGCTATGCCATCAGGATTTCAAATATGAGCGGGGTCACCCACGGTGGACAGGTTTTGGCAGGGCTTCCAGACCAAGACAGACAAAGAAGAAGGATATGGCCAAATCTACTTCTGAAAAAATTGGCCACGGAAAACTTTATGAATAGCAGGGAAACATTGTATGATATAGAAGATGAGCCCCTCAGGTTGGCGAGAACTCAAAATACAGCAGAGGAAGAGCTGCCTCCCCAAAGCAGAGTCAACTTGAATGACACAGATGGAGTATAGTATCTGAGACCGACCTTCAGTTGCTGGTATGGCACGATTCAAAATGAGAAGAAAAAGCTGCAAACATCCATTAATAATCGGAACATGGAGTGTATAAAGTAGGAATCTAGGAAAACTGGAAGTTGACAAAAATGAAATAGAACACATAAAGATCAATATCTTAGGCATTAGTGAGCTGAAATGGACTGTACTAGCCATCTTGAATCAAACAATCATATGGTCTACTGGGCCAGGAATGAAAAACAAGAGAAATGGCATCACATTAATCATCAAAAAGAACATTTCAAGATCTATCTTGAAGTACAATGCTTTCAGTGACAGGATAGTCTCCATACACATGCAAGGAAGACCAGTTAATACTATTATTATTCAAATTTATGCACCAACCACCAAAGCCAAAGATGAAGAAATTTAAGATTTTTACCAACTTCTGCAGTCTGAAATTGACCAAACATGCAATCAAGATGTATTGATAATTACTGATGATTGATTGGTATGCAAAAATTAGAAACAAGAAGAACCATCAGTACTTGGAAAATATGGCCTTGGTGATAGACTTTTGCAAAACTAATGACTTATTCATTGCAAATACCTTTTTTTCAACAACATAAATGGCAACTATTCATGTGGACTTCACCAGATGGAATACACAGAAATCAAATGGACTATATCTATGGAAAGTGATGATGGAAAAGTTCAATATCATCAGTCAGAACAAAGCAAATGGCTGACTGTGGAACAAACCATCATTGTTCCTGTGCAAGTTCAAGTTGAAGCTGAAGAATATTAAAACAAGTCCATGAGAGCCAAAATACAACCTGGAATATATCCCACCTGAATTTAGAGACCATCTGAAGAACAGTTATGATGCATTGAATACCAGTGACTGAAGACCAGGCAAGTCGTGGGATGACATCAAGAACATCATACATGAAAAAAAAAACAAAAGGTCATTAAAAAGACAGGAAAGGAAGAGAAAACCAAAATGGATGTCAGAAGAGACTCTGAAAGTTGCCCTTGAAAGGTAAGTAGTTAAAGCGAATAGAAGAAATAATGAAGTATCACCACTTCTATTCAACTTTGTACTGGAAGTCCTAGCCAGGGCAATAAGGCAAGAAAGGGAAATCAAAGGCATCCAAATTGGTAAGGAAGAAGTCAAACTATCCCTATTTGCTGAT